ACAAATGACAAGAGGAGGCTACATCAACAGAAGCAACATGAGGAGATTTCATGGGTATTGCAAGGTGTCCTTCATCCTAACCACCTTGCAGTTACTGCATTGGGGTCGACTAGATGAATCTATTTTCTCCATTCAGCTCTATCAGGGACACTGTCAACAAAAAACTGTTGCAGTAACTAGTCAACATGATTTTTTATTTCCTACATCTAAATTAGCTTGGTATGTCACTAGTCCGCTGCTTAAAAAGAAAGTGTGTTCCTATTATTCATCCTAATCGATATCTATCACGCATGTTGCCCAACTATCTCAAGTGATTCTTTCCAAACTTATTTTCACTTGAAGCTACCTCCATACTTTTTATGCATATATTTATTTCTTATTCCAATTTTAATTGCATGCTTATACTCTATCTCAATATTTTCATTTTGCCTATATTAGCTGTCGGATATTTTGCCCTAATTGCTTAAGCATTCATTTCACAAACATCGGTTATGCAAACCGTTAAAAAAACTCTCTATAACTCTCTATAACTCTCCATAACTTCTCAAATTTTTCTCATCTACTTCCTTCATCAATGTCCTTAGCTTAGAAATCCTATATTGAACTTTTTGTCGATGTCATAAAAACTACATATCCAGCTTCCTTCCTACAAAAAGCTTCGTCAAGGTTAGCAAGTAAACAGCTTATCAGACAGCTCTCATGGGCAAAGAAATACATTGAGTTACTTCCAAAACTATGACTCCTTCACTTAGATTACAAAACTATTCACATATTCAGTTAATGGCTCATAATTTTGAACCATTGAGCTCATTACAACCAGTATATCACACGTGCCCATCTCCATTCCATAGGCAGTTAGTATTTGCAATTTTCTCAAACACTTGGTAGGCATTCGATAAACCTCCTCCAAAACAAAATAACAATATCTTCAGCTCCTAAAGCCTCCTTGATTTCCATTTTCCCATTTTGCATCTTTTACTCCTTTAACCATAGTTTTTTAAACATTTATTGATCAACTTTAATCATCCTAAGTATTCCATATGAATCTATGATCAATTGTTTAATCAAGCAACATATTGGAGATGGACCGTCATATGATAAGAAACGAAAAGGAAAATCTAATTAATAAAACAAAAAATTAGCCCTAAAACCCCTCAAAATGCTTCAAACAAGATGTTTGAGAATGAAATTTGAACCTAACAACATAAATATAGAGAAAATTATCAAATAATCGATGATTGATTGATTCTTACCTTAAGAATAGGAACCAAATAGACGCCGCTCCAAATTCGACGAATAGGGAGAAAGAAAGAGAGAGAAATGAGTTCTTGCTGGGCCGGTTCAGTTGATAGCAAGCGTGCATTCTGTTTTGCCTAGGATGCCCATCGTGATTTGTTATAGGGGTATTTTCGTCTTTATCTCACATAACTGTGACGTCTTTGACATGGTACTAGCGCCTCGTTTGGTACGTGGGAATGAAGTCAAGTGAGAATGGAATGAAAGAAGGAATGGAATGGAATGTATGTGAGAATGGAATGGTCATTCTCATTCTCTTGTTTGAGTGCGTTTGTAGAATGAAGCTAGAATGAAAATCTAATTCTCATTCCCATATTTGGTATCACTAGTTCACAAGTAAGAATGAAATCTCATTTTCTAATAATACCCTTATAACAACATAGATTTTTAATAAGATAAAAATAAACATTAATGATAATAACTAAAAAAAAATTATTTATGCATATGTTATATTAATCTAGGTATGTGTAGTACTAATGCGCATGTTATCGATCAGGTGTATGTTTCGTTTATATTTTTAAACAATTC